AACCCAAACCATTCTATAATTCTATGATTTTTGCATTCTTACTATCATTTTGTAATTGGGTTTACATCATCTTTGTGGTTTCCTCGTAGCTGAAACATCTCCTCTCACTTTGCTCACAGGGACTTCTATCTCATTTAAGATGGAGTATGTATGAAAGCAAGTGAAATCCATTCTACACTGAATATTTCAACAGAAGATTCTTTCATGAAGTCTGTGAAAAATCTTCGTGGAAAAGGTAGTTTTGTCTCACCTCACTGTGTCATCCCAATGAAACTTCTTTCTGGGTCCCACAACCCTCTTTCCAGGTTTCTCATCATCATCTTCCTCCGATCCATTTTTCTCTCGTTCATCTTCTGCTTGCAACCTACATTTAGAACAACTGTTTTCTTTATAGGTATAACACAGACAAAATGTTTCCTTGAGAAAGGGGTGTTTTAGGTGTTAGAAAAACAAAAAGGACCTGACTTCAGATTCTTATTATACCCTTCCTGAAAGGGTAAACAGTTCATCTTCCTCTCCCCACCGCTTCATGGTCCTCGGAGACAAGTGAAAAGGACACACTATGGATGCTATCAAGGATGCTGGCTATAACCTTCATGTAGTGCCTCTCTGGGAAATGGCAGGATGCTTATCAATCTATTAATGCTTCTCCAAGTCTAAAATTAGTTAGCTATGAGGGAAACAATTACAATGAACAAGAACAAAATTCATCAAGAATCTGAACACACCACCCTCCTCCATTAATCCAGCATTTTGAAAGTCTCCAGTACCCTTCTCACAGTTTATGACTTCTTTCTCACAAGACCTATTTAATTCGGTTAATGGGATTTCTTTCTAGAGTCAGGTGATAACATCACTTATACAAAACTAAGTACTTTGTACAATTCCAAACTTGCAGACACCCGTAAACTGGAGCCGAGTACTTGGCTGAGCGCATGGAAAGAACAACACGCGATACAGACTTCCAGCTGGACTTCAGAATGGGCATGCATGGACCCCAGAAATACCTACTTGGCATTCTTGGCTTGATTGCGGGCCTGACAGTCCTCTTGATACTTGCATAACTGCTCAGGCATGACGTTACTGACAGCTAGTTTCAGCTTTTGCAGTGGTTCTCTCAAGCGGTCATCCTGTGGAAAGAGAAATACCAAAGCAGTCCTTTTAGATGCAAGGTAAAAGGTGTTTCAGATAATTTTTGTGAAACTATTTCCCCCTCACTCCTGAGGCAATATGCCAAGTGCTACTGGCTGCAGCAGCCATTTCCTATATGGCACGTCAATCCTGTTAGGTGCAACAGCATTACAGAAATGCACATACTTGACATTTCTCATACAATTCATGTAGTCTTGAGACCACAAACAATGGAATATAGTCAGAAGGAAAGATATCACGCATATTGCAAAACATTATGGCATGATCTCATTAAATAATGCTTTTAAATCAAAATTGGGAAGAAAATCTGAGGTGAAAAAGAAATGACTTGACTGATGAGTTTCTCAACACTTGCAAAAACGTATCCAATTAATCAAGTCTCCAAGAACTCTGTGATATAACAACATCCTAGGTAATGAACAAAATATATATACTAGATTATCTGAGTATTAGATTATCATTATTGTATGTAATTTATGTACCTCAAAGGTAAGGACTATGTATTTAGAATTGTCTGCAAACATTGATAACTTCAAACAAAGTAATATACTATATACTAAATTTTAAATTCTCTTCCTACATGTTCTGACTTCACATTCTTAATCATAAATGTATATTGAGAAGAACTAAAATACTATGTGCTATTATGTCTTACTGCTTAGAAATAGCATATGAATCTGTTTTCCTCCTTAGCAAGTTCTAAGATCTCTGCATTCACGATCCTCAGATCCTCTGCAAGATTTAGTCTTGAATTTCATGTAAAGAATCAGGTCAGGATACTTCTGATCACAGATAACTTTTATTCAATAGGAAAACATCTTCTTAAAGAGAAAAGCAACTGCAAATGACAAAGCATTCTTAAGACCTAGCCACCAAGGCAAATTTGCACAAACAGTAGAGGCTGGGTCATCTATTATCGGTCTATTCTTTCTTTTTTCTTGGCACAAAAGTGAATGCAATAGTAATTTAATTTTTGTAGCCTGTCAAAACCATGATTATTGTGGCTTTCTAGTTCTGCTACTTTGATATGTACCCTGTACCCACTTTCAAGATGACAGTGCTTCATTCTCAAATAAAGGGTCTGAAATACTTAAACTGTTTGTTCCTAAAGTAGTAACAGCAGGTACACAGAAAAAAGCTTTTAAACTGATTTAACAACTGATCCAAAAATCTTTCGCTTTATTGGAGACTGTACGGCTGTTGCTCTACTCTCCTGCATTCTGTCCTCATCACTATTACACAATTGACTCATTCTGGAGCTAATCTCCCCATCATCATTACCTGGACATTGAGGTGTAACTTCTTCAGACGCTTTATCAGTGTGTCCTTATTGCATGGCACAAAAGCCTCAAGGTGAGAGTACACTCCATTGCGGATGGCAGGATTTATCTCCTGTAACTGTAGCTCAATACTGACAAACAAACAAGAGACAATCAACCAGCAAGGCACTCCAAGATGAAGATAACCGAACAAAAACCTAAGGAAGCTTTGTATGCATAACATTCTTTAGCTATACATACTAAAAATAGCAGCTTAGGACACTTTCAAGTTGTTTTTTTTTTTTTACAAAAGGAGAAAGTCTTAATGGTAAGAAACCATTCATATACATACTTCTCCAGCAACGTTGAGCACTGTCATTCAAATTTTGTTTACTCCTATCATTTCACATCAATCTTGACACAATTTTGATTCTGCTAGTCTTCTAGGGATTACTTTTTGTTTCTTAGAATACGACTATAGAGCCTTCTATATTGAAAGCTTAGTTGAAGGATTACAGAGTAGAAAGAGCTAGCATTTTCCCTCATGAAAGCTGAAGGTGTTTTTGAGTTATGAAAGTGGGGGACAGGAAGAAATAATGGCAGTTTTGTTGAATTTTACACATGAAATCAAGGACACAAAGCACTAGAAAACAATTTACACTGGATAAAGACAGACAGATAGTCATGACAGGAATTGTATTCGTATATAAATCTCTTTAGCTAATAACTAGCTTAGACTGATCTACCTTCAATGACTTTTAAGGGCTTTGTTGGAACAACCTCAATATTATTTCCTCTTCTGTACTCTTCCTGTCACCCCCTTTCCAAAAAGGGAAGGTTGTACAGATAAGCACTTACTCCAGCAGAATATTATTCATGTCTTGCGTGAAAAACTTCTTCCTGCCTTCTTCATCAAACATCTTGGCGGCCTGAAAATACAGCAATAAGGAGCATCCAAAAGTTCATAGAGCATTTTATCCCAACAACCCTTGTATTCTTTACTTCTACAGCTGTATCATACTCTTATTTTCCAGAGAACAGCAATACTTGGAAAACAAAATAAAACCCAAACTATACTCAGCTCTTTAGAAAAAAGTGAGTATTATTACTACTGTACTAAAATAAAACCACCTTGCTGTAGGGTAAACAATCATTCTATTTAGAATCTGCCTGGATCACTGATGTTAACACATTCATCTTTTCAATAACCATGAAGAAAGAAACTGTTAGAGATGTTTTATCTCACCACCAGCAACATTCCACTACCACTGTTTGCTCTAAGAAAGAGGAGCATTGCTTGACAAGTAAAGCAGGCAAGAGCATCAACATATTTCTACTCTCAATCTATGGAAGGCTCCTTTTCTACACTTCTGTTATGTACCACCCAGTTACAATTTCCCTTCAGTGTTCTTAGATCCATCTCAATCCTTCATTGCAATTTCTACAAAGGGTTTACTTATGCTAGAGGAATACCTCATCCCTCTTTCCTGGTGCTGTCCAGCATTCTTGCCATCTTTACAGTGTATCTCTTTAGTATTTTTGTCTGGTCCCTTCCTGAGTCTTGGCGGTGGAGGGGGAGAAAAAAAAGACAGCCTTATTCCTATACATACTTCCTTTTATTAGAAGTTTTTACTGATCTTGCAGGAATTCCCTTTATCTTTGTTCTTATCACCTAGATTCTTATTTTCACAGACAATGACAGCTTGTAGGAGAAAGTCAATTCCCTGCACGATTCTACAAAAAAAAAAGATCTGTAAGACCTTCTCTCGAGTGTTCATACACTCTGCAGATTTACAGAAGAGGGAAAAACCCAAACCAACCCACTTTTACAGACTTACTATCATCTTATATTCTGGTACTGGGACCAGACAGCAAATATCTAAAGGAGCTGGAAAAGGACGTACAGGCAGAAAAGCAGGCAAGTGTGGTATCATTATAGCGACTGACAAACATTAGAGGCAACCAACATGCTATGAGGCTGAATATGCAAATAAATTAAAAATCTAATTCTCCCTTTTAAAAAAATTTTTAGTGACTTGTGACAACATAGCTAAAAACTACAAATAAATGCAAGTGTTAACTTGGTAAAATTCCTTTATTACTGTGAAATACTTACTGTTCTTGCTCTTTGTAGCTGACCCATTTAAGTTTGAAAGAACAGTATTTTCTGGAATTGTGAACTCTATACTGCACAGGAAAACAGGAGTCTGATACTCTCTCAGAAACCATAAGGTAGATCATTGTCTGAGTGCTTTACTGCTTCAGTCACGAACATTGATACCAGAGCGTAAGTTCTGGCAAGGACTGCATTCTGCTCACTACTTTCTACTGTAAATTCAGCTGTTGAGGGGATGGTACTATCTGTTTAAGAATACTGAAGCACGTGTCCTGCTAAAACAACTAGAAAGGTTATAGATGTTTATTAGAAAAAGATAAGTTTGAAAGTCTTTAATCCAGTATCTTTAGGCATAATTAACACAAGGATTATCATCATCTCCTGGTTTATATAAAGTGGAAGGAAAGCTATGCTTTGACGTTTCAGTTCCAGGTAGACCTTAAAAGGCAATTTCAGCATTATACTGTCATACTGGACAGTGTTGCTGGCTTCTGAAGAGAACCACACTGGCAGATTCAAAAACTGCACCACTGCCACTAAACTGTGGTTTGTTGGGTTTTTCCCCCCCTCACAGACAGATTATGTTGACGGCTACCTTCACATTAGAAAAAAGCCAATTTATTACTTTCCTGCTTGCATATAATATTGTCTTCTGTCATGGCAGTTCAGAATTTCCCACTTAGGGAACTAGAAGACATCAATCTACAAAAGGAAGTCAGGAAGGTTTTACTGTATTTAGTCAGTGGCTTTCTAAATTTTATTTTTTTTAATCTAGATATATCATACTCCATTCATAGAATATGGGCTTTTTCCTACAGCTTTATAAGCTGCTTAGCTTTCTTTGCACTAAAGCCGTGAGCTTGGTAAGTATTTGACAAGAGTCATTTCTTTTTTCCTACTTTTTAGGAGATGTTTTCCCCCACTGATAACACGTCAGTTGATTGCAATTTGCAGAAGGTACAAAAGCTGCAATCTTTAAATCAACACACAGTCTAGTTTTTCCCCAAGTGTATGGGTAGACTTGCTCTGCTCAGCCAGCACCAAACTTCCAGAAGACATTATCAAAAGCAGAAGATGAAGAGTTACATTTTCCAAGAGCCACTGAATTAAAGCTTTCGGCCAACTGGGTGGGGCTTGTTATACAGTGAAGCAGCATGAATTTGGGGCAGGCCACTAGCACTTCCTGACTTTTGGCCTAATCCAGTTCTTCTACAGTTTTGCTAGAAGGTTATTGTTGATTCATAGCAAAAGTAACTTGAATACTCAAAGGTAGACAAAATCATCTCTCTCACTTTAGTAAATATTAACTCCTTGGCTGTGTTTAGCTTAGTACATTAAAAATAACTAAGACGACTATAAGACATTTACATACAGATAAGATAAACATGTTTTATCATTATTCTAACCTGTAGCAAAACAAGCTCTGCTACTGTTTAAATTATTTTTTCCAAAAAGGTAGTAACTTGAACTTCTTTTTCAAAACTTACTCTGAGTAAGGAAAAGCTTTAATGCCAGAATCTGGACAATCAAGCAACAAATTTATTCTCAAATTAAGATAACATTTACAACTGAAACAAGGAGCATTTAATACCTTAACAGTTCTGATCCCTTCAATAAGCTATTGGGACGTTTGTAACCTGTGGATTTAATACTTTTCATTAATGATTTTTGACAAATTTGAACTCCATTCTAACGTTCCAAAAGAAAATATTCACTTTGTCGTTGTTTGGTTTTGGGGGTTTTTTGGTAGTTGGGTGGTGGTTTTCAGTGGATTTTATTGTTGCTGTGTGGTTTTTTGTTTCATGTTTTTTTTTTTTTAACTGGCAAGTTAACATTTAGGTTACAAAGCCAAAATTTCAAGACATTGATTTGCAAGCTGCAGTCATATTTCAGGTTTCTTCCTCCAAACTAAGAAAACACCCATTCATTTCACCAACTAATAATTCAAGTTAAAGTAACACTGATGTTTCCATTATGAAAAAACCCCAAACAAACATTACAAGTTATTGTACACAGAAGATTCAGAAAGCCTTGTCTCCACTGTGAGACAAAGACTGTTTTAACAATTGACCTGCATCATCTTTGTGCCCATTTTCATCTGAGTATAAATACAGCCATTGAGATCGACATTAAGATCAATTCTACATTTTTTAGAGTTTCAGCCAGCAATTCAAGGATGACAACTCAGGCCCTAATTATTATTTCTTGATCTATCAGATTCTTGAATGCAATCCCTTATCAATGAATTCATACTTACTGTTCGAAGGTCTCCAATGCGCTTTTCAAGTAGCATAGGCAGACCTTCTGGGAGGGCAGGCACCTGTTTGGGTGTCATGACCTGAGAGGCATAGGTTGCCTGAGTGACATTTCCATTTTCTCCTGACAGCTCAGATACCGGGCTGCCATCAGAAGTGCCATCAAGCAATTTGTCAAAGTCAATGTCTCCCAGCATCTCCAGGGCACTTTCAGCTTCTTGCAGGAGCTCACGTTCATTTGTGCTACCAAAAATGGAGAGGACAGGATCACTGATCCTAAGATTCAAGTCAGAGATATCGTTTCCTGCATTGAGAGAGGAGGAAGGAATTTTACTAGGGGTAGAGGTTGCAACAGTCACTGGAGGTTTTGGACTAGATTCCTTCTTCCTCATGGCTTCCTTCTCCTTTTGAAATTTACGGATCATGGCAGCCAGAGAAAGTGAGTCTTTATACAATTTCTTTTTCTTCTTTTCAGACTTGTGTGAATTTAAGGCCATTACTCTGTAAAGGAAAGAAATCTTTCATTAGAATGCATGTGACTTTTGAGGCCTTAGTAACCTTTAACTAAAGTCTGGGAGTTTAGTACAATCAAAAAATTATCAGGGGGAAGAGGCAAGTACTTTGTGCTTCCCCCTTCAGACTATTCTATCAACTACCATAAACCTTTGCTAGTCATGTAATTTCATGCTCTCCCAACTGATTTGTTTTGCTAAGTTTTGTACACATTAAAGCAAAAGTTATTTACTTTTGACTTCTCTAATTATGGAGAAATTGGCAGAGTTGTTAAACTCATGGCTGATCTATGCTACTGAAATACCTAACTTGCCTCTCAGGCTCCTGAATGGTGGCAGGTTCCTTTAAGTTTAGGTACACCATGTACATTTAAAAAAAATTCTCTTCATTGCCATGAATTTTGACATGCAGGCTCAACACCTATACGGTACTTAAACAGAACATTTCCCCCCAATTCATCATCTTGATAAAAAATATTATCAATTAAATTTCAGTATCAATTCGAATATTCATAATAAGACAACTATCACTCAACGAGTTTTCTAGAAGCCAATTAAAAAAACCTTCCATGGTTAATCCTTCCATGGTAGCCTCAGTACTCAGGAAAGTACACACAAAGCTAGCAAGAAACATGTAGAATAATTAAGCAACATTTACAGTTTCCAGTTTAGAAACAAACGGATAGGAAGAAAATTATTTTTCATTAGAAGATGGAAAAGATATAATTCTTAATGCTATATAAGACTTTGGGTAGAACAATGATGGATAATGCTATTCATAGACTCAAAATTCCTTTTGTGTAATTTGTCTTTCCTTGTTTTATTACTCCTCATTCAAAATTTTGGGGACAGAAAAATTAACTTGTAGGACTTATTTATGCAAAACCCCAACAAATTCCAAACCCAAAGTCTATTAGCTATTAATTACAGTTTTAAAATACAGTATTATAAACAGCTATGATAATCTTGCTGTGGCATGCAATCTTGAAACCAAACCACACATACAATTCAAGCGTTCATTTAAAGAAACAAAACTTACCCCAACTGCTTAGGAACTTTCATTTTCCGAGGCTTCTTCTCCTTTTCTGTCCCTTCATCTTTCCGCTTGCGCTTCTTCATGCCACGATCTTCACTTTCTTTTAACTTTGCTATCTAGAAAACAGATCAAATAAAAGACGATGATTCTTCCACCCTAAAGGACTCATACAGCAAGAAACATCTAGTTTTCCTTACACTTTCCAGTGCAGGGCCAGGAAAAATACCTCAATGTGTGTAAAGGCAAACAGTACCACTGGATTCCTAGCAGCAATTGCAGTTACTGACAAGTCTCAATCATTAATCATTTTTAACAGTTACTGAATTCAGAGTTTTCAGTTAGAAAAATACTTCAAGGCACAAGCAGACTGATGTCCAGCTAGTATGAGCAACAGACAAAACTTTAGTGTGTTATCAACACTATTTTAGTCACAAATCCAAATCATAGCATCATAAGGGCTGCTATCAAGAAAGTTAACTCCATCCCAGTCAGATCCAATACAATAACCTTAAAATTATGTTGAAGAATTATGAAGGAGGAAAATAAAATCAGAAAGCTGGAAGTTCTTGGAATAGCATGGAACTTATTAATGTCACATGCAAGCAATTATGTTTGCACTGATCATAACTTGTCTAGGTACACAGCACGTGGTTTGGGAAAGACTGTATATATACTTTTTCACATAGCTATTCTTATGCACTGAGTTTATTTAACAGATATTTTAAGTGTTATTCTGTCTATTAGGAACAATTTCAAATCACACAAGCTTTGTGCAAAATCATAAAAGCAGCACTGGAGAATTTAAGTTCTTATCTCATTTCATAAAATTCCTGTAAAATTACAGAATCATCTTCAAGATGGATGGACACAACTCATTAGCTTGCCTAAACAGATGGCTAGTCTTACAAGACCGGACAGCCTATGGAATGCCAGTATGTGAGCCACAAAATAGAAAATGCAATAAGGCAGTGCTGTGCATCATTCTGCTTTCAGCCTCTTCATCTGAGCCATTCTAAGCATATCAAATATTTCCCAATGTCCACCTAGCTCTAAGTTTTGTATAAAAAGCATAATTATGATCACTCACTTTAGGTGGCCTATGTTTTTTGTCTTCTGCAAAGTCTTCATCCTCTGAGTCAGATGCCTGGCGGAACTGCAGTGTACCAGTGTTGATATAAAACCCTCCATATTTGGTTGTCAGGGATGCAGGAACCAATTCATCATACTGGGCAGGAAAAAGATGAGTTTATCAGCATTTCTTATTATAAAGAGTATATAGTTCATTTACCAGTCCCTATATAATGAAATATACAAGTACACAGCACAGCTTGCTAGAATAGAAACAGGATAGTAATGCTATTGAAAACATATTGGCCAAGGCACAGAACATTAATATCACAGAACCTTTCTACGTTCAATGCAATACCCTTTTTTTTTTTTTTGGAAGAAAAGGCAGGATTACAGCATTAAAAGTACTGCTTTCTGAAGGAAATGAGGATGGGCACAGAGGCATTCCCCCCCACACCGCTGAGAAAAAAAAAGTCCAAAAACTTTTAAACTCTTTTTCCCCTCAATATCCTGTCTCTGAGAATATGCTTCCATTATGATAGATGTTAAATCTCAAGATACATAAACCATACAAACAACAATACACCACCTGCCTATGAGTAACTTCACTTGATCACTGGTTGTTTTTGTCCAGGAAGTAAACAGGCACATAGTGCATTATTTGTTTTCATCTATAACAGCCTTACAGGCATACCAGCAACATCCCTGGTTGAAAACAAATTTTAGAAAAAAAAGCCAACCCCCAAACCCAAAACAAAACCCAAAAGACTCCAAACCAACCAAATGAAAAACCCAACAACCTTCCTCTATTGATTTACTTCTAGTGAATACCCTTCAATTTTATAAGACAATGCATCGTTCAAATTACCCTCTGTTAGTCATACACTTTTATCACAGGCCCTTTAAGTTATCTGTAAGTGATAGCTACATTTATTTCCAGAACCTACTTCTTCCATATTTTCAAAAAAAGATGATAGTCTGAACAGTCGCTATATTGCAGTGGAAGAAGCCTAACCTATATCAGAATTTTACAGAATTGGATGTTACACCCAGGGAATAGGAATGAATATGATAAAGATGTTTTTGTAAACTAAGCAGAAAAAACCTTCTCAGATTATATGCTTTGTTTCATTAGACTGCCACAGTTTTCATTAATATCAATCTTTGTAGTGCATTTGACACATTCAGACGTTCCAACACATGCTACACTTAGTACTTACTCTAACAATGGGGACCAGCTCAAAAAACCTACTTCTTACCTAAGTTCTCTGAAATTTTCTTTTTGTTAAAAACGCTATCCCAGATATGACGAACTTAGTCACAGTATCTGTTAGCTTATTTGCCATTTTAGGTGTTAAATATGACATTGCCTCTTATACAAATACCACAGTGCCAGGACTTGTTTCATTCAAAGTCAGATATATTCTCACTGTTTAGAAAGTTTTAAAACCACAAAAGCTTTCAAACTCTTATACATACTTCATTTTGAAAAGCACTTATTTAATCTCTAGGAAATATCTTGTTAATAGCAAACTCTCAAAAAGGCTGGGAAGATGAATAGATTAATTCTAGCTCTATGCATACGTATCAACAAAGCAAGCCATGGAAGTGTCTGCAAGAGAACCGAGGGAGGGTTGCCTTGACAATGCTGTTACCACTACTGAGAAGGACAATGTTGTCCTGAACTACTCCAAATTTGAACTACCAGTCTTAGTTTTCCAATACTGAAAATTGTAAGACAGTGAACTTAAGCAACAAATACAATTCTGGAAACTATAGTCTGCTGGAAGCACAAAACCAGATAGGCAGAGACACATACCTGCCAACAAAGATAAGGAGGAAGCATTTACAGGACCTAGAAAGTGTTACAAAAGTACCAGAAAGACACGATAACAGTTCAATGGCTAAGAATCAATTTCTGCCCTTCTGCTGAAAAAAAGGGTAGGATGTTGACACACCTCAGAGGTATGTCACTCTGGCAGAGGAAAAAGTCGATTTTGAGTTACAGCTGCAAGCAATAAATGTTTAGTAGCACAGCCAAATGATTAAGAATTAAGTAATATACTTGAGAAGGAAACAACACGTTTATTATTTTTAAGTTTGAACTAGCAGGCCTTCCACTGCATGTCTGTTAACACAGAATTCAACAGGCTAAATAAATTAGTTGGCAGTTTTAACTACCGCAACATTAACTGAAGACTCAAGATCACCTACATGAAGGGAACGCACACAGTGCAAAGTGGAGTGTCAGTTACCAGCTTATTTCATTTCCCCCAGCATGCCATACAAAATACACTGAAGATAAAATGGTTTAAGAACCAAAAAATCTGGGCTACCAAAAGCATTAAGACAGGAAGAAGAGTTATCCAGAAGAGGAAAACAGTGAATGTATACTTCAACAAGGAAGCTGGTGAAAGAGCCTGAACTGGAGACCTATGTGGATTGGATCCGAGTAAGTAGTTAGAAATTTCCATGAGTCCGACACCTTTTGTCTTCCTGGAATGAAGGCTTAAACAGTACAGAAAGGGAAAGGAAAAGTAGTGACAGGATCTATGAAATACTCTACGATCATATGAAAGACTAGCACCAGAAAGCAGGAGAATCTATTAATTGGACAAAATGAAAGCCAGGTGGCTTAGTTGTGGACTTGTTATTCATCTTAGGAGACCAGGATGATCACGCAAAGTAGGAGGTGCAAAGTAAACTTGAAAGTGGAGGCTGGGTAAGAATTTCAGAGAAATCTGATGGTTTTCCACAGCTCTCAGAACCAGCTTCATTACGAACAAGGAAGATGAAAGGGAAAGAAATTATCATCCACAGTGCTTCATAGACAGAGCAGGCGTTTCCCTTTTGAGCTGACAGGGTTTGAACTGAATTGGCGAGATTGGGGCAGTACGAGATCAAAACAGAATACAGCAGTTGCCAAGTCTGAAGGAGAAAGCATGCAGTCAGAGCTGGGCACATTATCATAAGAAGTGAAGAACAAGTAAAGGGAAACACAGTAAATAAAGACTCGGCTGCAGAGCAGTAAAAGGAAGCCTTGGAGAACACACAAGAAAAAGTAAGGATTAAAGACAGTCCACAAGTGAGGAAGCCATGAATCACTGCAGATGATTAGAATGATCAGCATGCTATGTGGCACAGATCCATAGGAACAAGGTAACCAGAAAGGCAGAATTCATTCAATATACAGATGAACAAACTATCCCATAACAGTCGACATGCAAACAAGGTCAGCAAAATGCAGATGTGTAACTTGCCAGTTGTGGTTTCAACAGCTTCTGCTGAGGACTATGAATTTAGTCAGAATTTCAAAGACCTTTTTGACATTCAGTTCTCCTAAATGCTTGAGAGAGTTTACTTTTCCCTACCAAAATCTGGTTTGTCCTCAGCCTACTGAACAAGGTACAACTTAGCTCAATGTTTCATTTTATTTTCAACTTACCTAAAACTGGGGCCTGCAGACCACAATTTACCTAGTACCCCCTCCTTTGATGTAAGCTTACTATTTTCTAGGGCCCTAATGAAACAGGAAAATTTTAATATGATTGTATATTAGCAACAGCTGGATTAAGCTTCATTTTAAAGTTTCTTCAGGACTCTCAGTGAAAGGAAACATGGCTCTTGCAACTTCTAAATCTTCTGATGAACTGGTTTCAAGATTTTTGCTTTGCACTAGCTTTTTCTGCATATGAAATCACAGAAATGATGCTATTAAGGAAAACAATTTAAGCCCTTCATGTCTTCTGTTCTTCCTTACGCATTCCAAGATGGAAAATTAAAATTCTTAGACCTGCAAACAGACAGGACTTCATATACAATTGTCTCCTGTGAACATAGACTTGTCCCACAAAAGATTATGGAATCATTCTGCAGATAACAAAATAAGACTAATATACTGTCTGATCACCTAAAAGCAGATCAGTATGTAAGTTACTTTCAGCTATTGTCCTTGAGCTACATTACTATGCTTCTAGTACCATTAATCTAATCAAATGTTTAGGTGTGAAAGATAATTTAAGTTTTTTTAAAAGTTAACCAGTTTCAACTTCATTATTATACCAAAGAAGAGGAGTGAAACTTTATGGATTATACCCACTTAGTTCTGAAATACAGACCCAGGGTACCTAGCAGTATCTTATATTAATATTGTCTACTATTGTGTTCAGATTTTTTGACCATGATCCTCAGATATTTTGACCATGACCCTCCTCATTCAGCTCCCTTCCAGAGAACAACCTATACTATAAAAGTACATATGTAAAAAGGCTTTCTAACACTTCTGTATTAAGTCCTGGAAATGAGATTCGCTGCAAATGTGTTCCAACTGTTTTAAGAAATGTAGCCTGTACATTATTTGTTGTGAAACTGGTATTATTTAGATAAAAGATAAGCAGGGATCATTTTCGTTCCTTGTTCAGTTTATTTTTGAGATGGCTCTAACCAACTGGGTGAGTGGGAAGCTGTTTATTTTTATCATTATTAGCCAACTGAATAAAGTCAAGCTACTGAAGTTACGTTGAATATGGTTGCTTCAGCCATGGAATATGGACTGAATATCCATACAGTTCACTACATACTTCAAGACAGTACAAACATAAGTGATCAGTCTCTATGCTTCTTAAAGACAAAAATCTGAAATGCACTCTTTGGCTTTCCTATCCTTTAAGGATAAGTTTTCAAACAAAAAACCAGAACTATCTTTCCAAAAAAATAGCACAGTAGAATATACAATGAAATCCTGAACAAGGTTAAGTGGGAACAATACATTGCTTTCCTAATCCAAGTTGACATCAAAAAATCAAAAGAGCTTCCCCATGGTAAAGAAGGTTCCTCTTCTCAAAAGCATAGGCAAGTTGTTTGGGTTTTTTTGTGTGGTGTTTTTGTTTGTTTTTAATCCTGGGGCAAAGGACAGCTGGCAAAGCACAACAGGGGAAAAAAGCATAACAGACTATTAAATAAAAATATAATACCTGTCTCAGGGTAGTCTAGACTAGGATAGGATAGTCTCCTAGGAGAATACTAGTTTAGTTGTCAGTTATACCCTTCCACCAGTCATCAGCTTTAGTGACCTTCAGTTCAACAAGATGACATTCTTATTGCCTTGACAATATTCAGCCTAAGTTATAAAATGTGTGACCACCTTTTACCTGTTTA